CATCATTTGTTTAAACAATGCCACTGGGTTCACAGAACAACTCTGTAGCATGGGTATAGAACCCAGAAGGTGTTCAATCCTAATCTGTGCTCTAGTTACTCTTTTGGGTCCTCCTCTTAAATATTAATTTATTTAGAGAGGGACTGGAAAAGGTGCAAAAGAAAAAAATATGAAATTGGTTAGTTCTTAACCATCAAGACATATACCTTATTAACTGTCTTATATCTTGGACCATCCCCTCATTTTTGGTTGTGTCATACTGCATCATGTCAATGTCTAGTTGCATACACTTCGGATCAGGGATGGTGTCTGTCTGTTTTTCAAAGGTTCCCAACATAATTTAGAAGCTCAAAATAATGTAAAACCTATAATAGTGCAGTAAATGTATACACAAGAGGGCTACATGGCTACTTGTTTGCTAGGCTTATTTTTGCATGATGTTATTTCTTGAAGCCATAGCAATAGCATAAATTCTCTTGAAACAGGTGGGAAATGTTTCTGGTGATCGATCTAATGAAGACTGTGCATATTTACTAATCCAGGTAAGAAACTTTGGGACAAAATTTCTTCTGCTACTATATGGTCCATCAGATAGTAAAGTACAATATCCACTGCTATTTTTGTTGTGCTTTTCAGAGCTGTTGAACAGGTGTCATGGGCAGAAAGTGACTAAAAAAATGGCATTATCTGCTCAACAGATCTGTGCCTTTGGTATATTCCTAGACTTCTCTGCTTGCTGTTTTTACAAGATACGGCCTGAGTTCAGCAACTGAATCCAGGCTGGCATAGGGTTCTACCTGTGCCAATCTAGTTGCAGGCATGAATCTAAAATGTTACTTCCATTCCCCTACCCTTATATTGCAGCCCAGGGCTGGGCATATATTTCATTACATTTTTGGTCAATTCATTTTGTGAGTCAGTTTGCAAGATCCACTTTGGGATTGACATGTGATGCAGAAGTATCCAAGATTCTCCACCCTGAGGTCCACTCATAGTCGAGGGCTGAGCTAAGGCAACAGCACCTGCAAGCAGAAGAAGCACCAGGTAGCACTTTCCACTGAATGGGATCAAATAGAGGCATAAGCTTCCATCACCTTTTGGCTACCCTCTCTCAGTGTGACTGGGGCTTGAAGGAATGCAAATGGGCCTTACATCCGCAGGAGACCCATTTGTTCTGTAGAAGACATTGACCACTGGCTTTACAGCAGTGTGGTGGGGATATGTCTTGCACCTGGCAATGCAAGGAAGTTGCCTGGGTGCCCTGCAAGGGTGGAGGGAATTGACATGAGCATCTCCCCTAACAGGCTTCTCTTTAGGCTCTACGACTGGTCCTGCCACTTGAGTTCCTCATCCCCTATGGTTCAAAGGAAAGCACGGTGAGTAGAATGTGATTTGTTTAGCCAATCACAAGCAACCAACCCAATTGAAAATTCCAAAAACTAATGTGAAAATTATCACACATTTGAGACACCCTAGTACCAAAATAATTTCAAACAATATTTCATTAAACAAAAAGGAAGACTTCCTAAAATGTAAAGTACATTCCACAAACTTACTACAAACTGGAAAATAGGCAAGTTACAACACTATATCCATTATGGATATTTTACCCAGAGCTACAATGGAGTCAGTAAAGCACTTGGAAAGTTCTAGTTTGGTTCCTGCATCATTAACAACATTTTTAAGAAAGTTCCAATTTCAGAATGTCTTTATTTTATTACTGATGATACACACGGCAGAAAAGGAGCGGCTTGACTTCAAATTCCAGGTTGAGTCTGAAGGGTTTGCCGTCTGGTAACATTTTTACCTTTCAAGATGAGCCAATTTACTTTAGAAGTCCCTTGAGAGACATTAAAGAGTGAACCTCAGAATGCCATTTTTATAGTCACTTTTTGCTCCTGCTTCTAGTGCATTCAATGACAAAATCCTCTTTGATTTCAGTGTGGGTGGAGAGCAGGCCCTTTAAGCTTATTTATACTGCCTGATTCTCCAAAAGGTATAGTAGATGGATATTCTTTGCATTTCATGAACACCATTTCAGATTAAGATTTATCTATATTCCATATTTTCGAAAGGGGCAGATGTCATTCTACAGCAAAATATTTATAGTTTTTTCCCCAGTCTCTCCCCCAAAGAACCCTCCAAGTTCAATTTAATTAAAAGATGAACGAGATCCCATTTTCCCACCAAAAAAATTCTATTCACTTTTAAAATGTGAGGAAGTACAGTATGCATTTGCATGACCTGTGCTATGCAAGTCTGGTGACTGTTCTGGAGAAAAGTACAGATTTCAATATCCAGGTAACGGGTTAATTTATCCAACAGTTTTCATAAGCACTAAGTTTAATCATCTTTGTTTGTGTTAAGAAAAAAGAGAGATGGTAAAAGTGCATGTTTCTATATGTTTTACAGACAAGAATTTTTATGATCTGTTCCTTGGACTGAAATGAAAAAAATAATTTTAGTAAATAAAAAGAATGTTGCATGTCCTGTTATTTTCTATTTGTGAAAGTAATCTAAATCTTTCCAATGTATTTGCAAGTGCATGAGAAGATTGAGAAAATATGATGTATTTGGAGACCCCACAAAAATACTGAATTTGTTTGACTGATTTGGTTATTTTCTAGACTCTGCAACTGGCAGGGCCGGCTCCAGGCACCAGCGAAGGAAGCAGGTGATTGGGGCGGCCAATACAAAGAGGCGGCACTCCGTCCGGTATCGGGGCGGCACCTCTGGGTATTCGGGGTGAATTCGGCGGCGGGTCCCTCAGTCCCTCTCTCCCTCTTTGAGCTGCCGCCGAAGAGGAAGAGAGGGAGTGAAGGACCCGCCGCCGGAGGGGGGAGCGGCGTGTTGGCGTTGGCGCTGGTGTGTTTGTTTCGGTTTTTTTTTTTTTTTTTTTGAAGCTTTGTGGGGCAGAAAAGCTGGAGCGGGCCTGGCAACTGGCATGGACTTTTAATCTCAATTTCTAAAGAGCACACATTCTTAAAAAAGCAATTATCCATTTTTATTTTGTTTACATTGCACTGAAAATTTACATCATACTTTTACAAATCCTTTTTTTTTTCATAAAAATATACTTCTTTACAAAAGTGTATGCATTAATATAAGAGGAGTAGCCAGTTGCAGAAGAAACATTTTTAAACGAGATCTCAAATGTACTAACTTTAACATTAATGAATGAATCATAGTTATTGCAGTCATTTGAATAAACAAGAATAAATAACAACTGATGGTAGAAAATAGAAAACAGCATCCTTTCAGTAGAATACAGTTTTTGACAGAATTGTATGAATTTTCAAAACAAAGTGTTGTAAAATGGTTTATAAGATATTCATCAAACATTATAGAAATCCAAGCAGCAATCCTGGGTACAATGATTTTTGGTAGGCACTCTCTATTACGGTAATAAAAAGTTCAGATTTTTCACAGAATTATTAATGCCTGAAAGGGACAGTAAGAGATAATTCACACTGGCTAACATACAGCATTTATGAGTCTAAAATTATTTCATGCTATAAAAGGAAGACAATGACCTACAACAAATAAATTACTGGGGTTACCTCTGGATAATTCTGTTATGAAATAACTGGAAAACTAAAGATCACATTCCATTGTTTGAGAATGAAATGGTTCTGCAATTTTTGAAACCCGCCTTTTTAGGGTGGTGGTATTTGAATCATCTGATGGATTACTCCTAATAAAACCATGGCTTTATTTTAAAAACCACATCTTTCTATTGAATTGCTGCAATATATTCAGTTTTGAACAATTATTTTTAGGGGTTGCTTTCCTCACAATATTAACTTGTATACCAAAACAAAGCATTTTCAAATTCTGATTAGGCAACACCTGTGGGCCAGATCCAAAGCTCATTTGAAGTCAATGGGAGTCCTTCTATTAACTTCAATGGTTTTTGAATCATGCTCAGTGTAAGCATTTTAACACAATGTAGAAGTAGTAAAATAATACTGATAATGTGATACAGTGTAGACAACAGTGGTATGGACTGAAGTGTGGAGCTTTATGTTCTTCATATACCAACTTGATTTCTAGTGTTACTGTAAACCGTAATTTTCTAAACTGAAAACTTCAAAAAGGTTAAATTTCTGTAAAAACAGTGTAAAAAGGTCACTCTTCCAAGTGATCTTCAACAGTAAGGAACATTGCTGCATGACAAAACTCAATTCATATGGTGCACCCTCACATCATTCATTGTAAAACTGATGTCTAGTGGCAAAGGCCCACAGCAAGGAAATACATAGAAGCAGAATTATCCCTGTTACCAGCTGCATGTGTTGCTAATGGGAACAGAGGAAAGAAACACGGAATGTGAAAAAGGAAGCAAGACATGAATCAGGGAATTAAATAATGAAATGAGAACTGAAAATTTGACACTTATTCTTTCTTGTGTGGTATAAAATTAATAAATTGCACATGAAGGTTTAAGCATATTAAACACTATGTCATTATGTTAGAAAATTCACAGGTATGAGAAAAATAAAGATTTGCTAAACAGGGATGTATGACTGAAAGGAGGGTAGAGTTGAAATTTATGAAAATGATGTAGCTCATGACTGTTAAAGAGAAGTCAGTGACCTATTGTCTCCTGTAAGTATAGCTCTTATTTTCTACCCTATATCTTTTTTTAAACCCAATCCCTCTATTATAGTTTATAAAGCACAGAAGTACTGATAGTGGATGCTCCTCCAATATATGCAAATACGTTTTATGTTTTAGAATAATCTCCTTTTTTAAAAAAGCAAATAAACTGTGAGTAAGCACTCATGGAGTGCAGCAGATTTTCTGTAAAACTCTCCATGGTAAACATGAAGGACAATTCTGTTCCAGTTTATGAAAAAAAAAACACTCTTGTCTATCATCCTCAGGAAAAGGTGACCCAGTAAGTCCTGAAAAGTGTGCTTTAATTTTGTATCAGTGAACTATATGTGCACTGTGTTGTGTTTCAATTTCCAGACTTCTGAAGACAAAGCATTACCACATTATACCATTGTGCAGACAGTGTTCAAGTTGGGGTCAAATCGTACAGCTTTTCCTTCTACAGACTTTGCATTTGTGTCATACATGGGGTTTTCAAAAGCAGCTTGTCCATTGTTATTTTCATGAACAGAGCATCCTGTATACTGTGTTTTAGGTGCAGTCCTGTTGAAGAAGAAAAAGCACAGTGTATTCACAACTGCAATTTTCTGTGGTGATGGGTGTAATATAAGAACCTTAATAGAATGAACAAATTTCAATTACAAATGTAGAAGATAAATATTAAATGTTGGAACCATTCTTTTGCTGTCAAGGATTGCCATATGTATTAAAGTAATATTAAAACATGCTTATGAGAAATGTTAATTTTAAAGTAGCAAATATGTAATAATGCCAGGAAAAAAATGGTAGTAATACTCTAAAACTTGGACCACAATCCCAGAAAAACTGGGTATTTCTACTAAAATTTGCAGCTGACAGAGTTGACAGTATTGTCTCAGAAATAACACCACATGCAAATGAATGAGAGTATTCTCTTAGGGTTATTGTTTCTCTCTGGCTGTTTGCAAACTCAGTAAAAATATAAACTCTTTCTATCTGGAAGAATTTCTTTATGACTAGATGGATTAGAAATGTAAATGAAAGCTTAAATTATTCAGAAATGTATGGCTCATCTATATCACAAGTGTAAAGGAGTCAGGGAAACTAACATCATTAAAAGTTGCAGTGTGCCTGTAACCAAGTTAAACCAGGCAGTTCAAGACCTTAAAGTCCAGCTTTTAAGGCATGTTTAGGTCCTGTGTATACTACAATTTTTAGTCATGTCCTGTAGGACTGTGTTACAATAGCAAGCCAGCAGACAAGTGCTGGTATGGTGTTCCACCACTTAGTGGCTCCATTTGCCCCTCACTACCATAGTGCAAGATTATTTAGACTTTGAGAAAACAAGATTTACAAATAAAATTAAGGAATGATTCTCAGAGACATAAACAACACTATCAGTGAACCTAGGATAAGAGTGAATCTCTGAGCAGATGTGGTACTATTGTTAGATAATTGTAGATGAATTACTAATTTCTAATGTGGAACCAATTTCCATAATAAAACCTCTCACTGACATAGGAGTATTACATATACTTGTAAGCTAATAAACTGTGTGGGGCTTAAGATAAATTACATAAGAAATATGATTCACAATATTGTACATGTCAAAACAAAATATAGGCAGTCTGCAATAAGTACACACCAACCCTGTTTATGGCATTATTCCCCAGATGCCAAAAATTTAAACTACCCTTGCTCCTCTCATAAAGAGAATAACTTATAACAACATTTTAAATAGGTGGGAGTGAAAGTGCGGCACTTTAAAATAACCTTACCTGTCAAACAGTATGGCAGACCTAAAATGAGGGTAGAGTGTATTTTCTATGCAGATCTTTTGCAAAGGAGTTCCCAGGGCAGTTCTTAATTTACTTTTTCTAACATATTAAAGTTTAAGGCCACTGAATAGCTTCAAATACATGACAATACAAAGACTCTATATATGCAATTTACACTTACCTTTGTTTATAAAGGTAAAACCCAAAACCTGCAAATATAAGGGCAAAGAAAGGCACAAGGATAGCAATGGCCACAGAACTACTATTTGTACCATGTGGTTGATTAGAAGAATTCGAACCTTCAGACATGTTCAGACCTAAAAAGACAAAAACATAACATCTCTCTATTATCTCACATCTCACAATTATCACTCCCAGATCCTCACAATATTACTGAAAGTGTCTACTTGTGGAGAAATTAAAATCATCATGTTTTGTTTTGCATGGGGACCTACAGTACGAAATAGTACCTAAATAGCTCCTGGACGGTACTATTTTCCATCTGCATCTGGTGAGCAAAACTAATTTTTTTTCCTTATGATGGAAGGATCTCCCCACAATGATTCATGCCTTTCTCACCTTGAACTTAGATTGCTGTTATGCACTCTTTATGGTGCGAGCATCTGTAACTTTCACTCTATGCATCTGAAGAAGTGCGGTTTTTACCTACGAAAGTTGAGCATTGGCCTGCTAAACCCAGGGTTGAGAGTTCAATCCTTGAGGGGGCCACTTAGGGATCTGGGGCAAAAATCGATCTGGGGATTGGTCCTGCTTTGAGCAGGGGGTTGGACTAGATGACCTCCTGAGGTCCCTTCCAACCCTGATATTCTATGATTCTGTGAAATCGTTAGTCTTTAAGGTGCCACCAGACTCCTTGTTGTTACTGAGACACTTGGAGACTAAATTTAGCGCAGAATGTGGCACCCTGCTTAATAGGTGAAGTTTTATGTCAGGAGCAAACGACACCAGTGCTCTGGGACCTGCACTTGCTTCTCGTAAATTTACAGATGCAATTCAAGGTGTTAGTGTTAACCTATGAAGCCAAAAATGGCTTAGACTAGGTTACTTCAATATCATTATTCAAATACAATTTATTTATTAGGTTCTGGAAAATCTGGTACTTGAGCAGATACAAAGAAAGCACAATAGAAGAAAAAAAGATAACAGCAAAGTTTACCAAAGGAATAGCAGTAACTTGGAGGAAGGCTAAATCACCTCAAGAGGCAACATGGAAATTCATCCTGTTGACTTAATTATACACATTTATTTATATATAAAAATGAAAGCGGTAGGTGAGAGGCAAAGAGTAGAGAGTAAATACTGATAGAAAGTAAGAACATGGCTCTCCTGCACAGAATAGAAATAAGGCAACTGTTAGATTCCCTATGGTGCCATGTTCATATCCCCTTTCCCATGAATAAAGAAGGGATTACTAATTCAGTTTAGTAAGTGATTTATAGGCTTCAAACTAGAGATGTTAAGAATCAGATTAATTAGTTAAGGTTTATTCAGTGCTTTGAAGTTGTTAAGCAACATAGAGATGCTAAATATGATTAGATACCTCAACTAATAGATTAATTACAGGAAAATGTGACTTTTATGAAATTGTTGGTTGGAAAGAGAATAAGCACTGAATTCAACATCTGAAAGAAAATTGTTTATGAACAATAGTGAAATAGATAGGAAATCTGGTTTGGGATAGGAAGTTTTCTTGAAAGACTAGAGGGCTCAAAAAATCTTATACAAATTTCACATCTCTTTGGGTGAAATTTTTACAAGAATGTTTTATATTAAATAAAGAGGTATAATTTAAAACTATTTTCTTATTAGTCACGATAAAGCTATTTTTGAAGAATGTCAAGCCCCCATAATGATTCTGTTTATTAATCATACGAGTTATATTCCTAAATGAATAATCTTGTTATTGTTTTTAGGCAATAGAATAAATTTTTTAATGGAATCAATTTAAAAAAAAAAAACCCTTCAAAGAGTTCCAACAAAGAATATATTGCGGGAATACAAACCTCTGAAAACCAAAGGAAGAGAGACAACACACAATTTTTATAAGAAACCACCAAAAACATCTTGTCAAGACATTGTTGATTTTACTCTTTGATTGATTACCCCCAAATATTTTGAAGAAGATGATTTAGGGAAATCAAATTATTTGCATATCCCTCCAGGAATCGTCTTCTCATAAAAATATTCTATAAATATTCCATTTAAAGTATCCAAATTACCAAATGCAATGAGACCCAAATTCAGTCTCCAAGCATTGCTCTTTAGAATGACTTAGGGCAGTGAAAAGAGAAAACAAGACTGTCTAATGTGTGATATACACATTAATAAATCCTTCCACCACAACTGAGATGTTAAAGAATGTTCTTGTTTTTATTTGGACAATAAGAGTGAGAAATACATTGTCCCCAAAAACCAGAAGAATGTGTTTTTGGCTCCAGATAAAATTATCATATCTGAAGAGCACAAGGCTATTTAATTAGGGGTTATAATCCTTGAAGAAACAAATTCCTCTTGTAAATCTGTCAGATTGGTCTAAGTGGAACCCCACTGCTTGAGAAACCTTAAGAATATTCAAGCTTTTGTGTGAGCAGAAATATTAGTCTTCAAGAGACAGGATCAGATAATTTACAGTTTAACATTTCTTGTTAACTAATATTTTTTCTTGTTTTATTTGCTTAAGCATGCAAAAAGACTAAGATCTTTTCAGCAATATTCTATACTGGAAAAAGCAAATAGTGATCAGGTAGTTTGACGTACAATTTAATCTACAGGACAAATAAAGAAGTCCATCCAATTTCCTCTTTGGGGGGGAAAAAACTCCCATCGACTTCAATAGAAGTTTTGCCTGTGTAAAAATGGCACAAGGACTTCAGTATTTGGCCAATAGTATTTAATAGGTTGACTGTTCTAGCAAGTATTCACTATAAAAGTTGTATTAATATAAAGCACTGACATACATATACACATATTCTGAAGTACTTACTCTTTATATGATGATCACTATATAGAACATAATACCTATTATGTAAGCATTCTTAGAGAAAGATATTAGAAAACAACCAAAATGAACCACTTGCCACAACAGAGTAACTATACCTCCCAATTTAACTTTCCCGGTGAACAAAACACCTCTTTTATAGCACAGCTTTAAAAATGATTCTAGGATACGAACCTCACTATACTCTACACACACACCAGTACTGAAATATAGGTTCAGGATAGCCCTTTACATGTAATCATTTAATAAAAACAATGCATAATAAAACTCAGTATGAAACAAAACTGAACTAGTTTGACATTAAAATTAACTGAATACCTAATCTTTGAAGTCCAAATTGTCCATAATCTTTACCCTGGATAAATCCTTGAAAAACATATGTAGCTCCATCAGGTTCAGCAGAAACCTGCAAACAGAAAACACACAGAATCTCAGAATTAAATTGGGAAAACTTGGTTAGAAATGTGAGGCGATTATAATCAGGTTGGAAGTGAAATGCCTAAACCAGTCAGTATTCCCCCACAGATACCTCTGTTGTGGAGGGATATGGATGCGCTGAGCATGGGGGTCAGGCAGGGGTACTAAAGGGACACTGTCAAGCTTAAAAGCTGCACTACCTTTGGAATTCTTTTTGACCTACCTTTGGTACTTGTAACAGCTAAGGCTACTGTTACTGAAAGAGATTAAAGAAAAAAAGTTCTCTTTTTTAGTTTGCTTACTTTGTATATTTGACAGGATTTTGTGTATAGTCGGTCTGCTCCTCCTGTTTGTAATGGATTGTTTGACAGCAAAATGGGAGAGAAATCCCTTTTCAAAATTAGTCAAATATAATTGTAAAACTCTGAAACTTGCAGGAGGACTCAGGGCCAGATATGTTAATACCTGATACTATTTTTTGATTGACTAGATTTCAAGTTGATTCTTGATAACTCCTGAAATTGCCATCTCTAAATGCCTCTTAAAGACTATTAGTGTTTTGATATTTTTTTGGAAAAAGCACTGCAACACCTAAAAGGCAGATGCTACCATGAATGCAAAAGTTAAGATAATGAAAGCCACTGTTTCAAAGGTAGACAGGGAGGGATAAAAAATGCCTGACATTCAACTGCCAATAACCCTCTTTTGGTCAGTAATCAGTACTCATTGGACTGCATCATTAAATATCCATAGCGGAGCATATCTATAGTATGAACACAAGGAATTTGCAAGCTTCAGAAATACAATAAGATATATTTTTGTCAGTCATTTTGTTCTTATGCATCAAGTAGTCTTAAAGAGTGTTCACAGGACAAGTGAACAATTTAATAATATATTTCAGATTTCAAGAGATACTGTCTTCTTATACCAGTCTATCTGCATCCATACCAGTGGGAATGTACTTTTAATATACCAGTATAGTTAAAGCAGTTCAATCTCTGTGTTTAGACAAGCCCTTAGGGTCTTTGGAAAATCCTAGCCATTTGAAAGTCAATACTTCTAGAAATGTCACCAAAGCGCTAGCTAATCAGCTCCTCAACTTCTCCCACATCACTGCCAAGAATTATTACTCTCAGATGTGATATTTTGCTTCTAGAAATAAACCAAGCAACATAATTGTGCCCACTGCAGAGAGAGATTACACAGAAGTAGACATTAAAGTGGATACATTGATCTTAGCTTGATAAAAGCATCTCGCTATGATATTACACTCTAAGAATGAGAAAACCTCTCAATGTACTGCAATAACATCAACATAGAAATGCGAGTAGCACTTCCTTTTCAGTGTTTACCACTTCATCAAATAGTCATGCCCACAAAGAAGAGGTTGAAAATCACTGTTTAGTGATAACCACATTTTTCCTAAATAGTCCCGCCCCATCTGCAATCGTACAATGGTATTTTTCATTTAAATAAATAAATTGGAATTACCAACCAACTTTCATTTGATAAGTTTCTATATTCTTCAGACCTAATGCACAGACATTATTTTGTATTAAAAACACACTCTCGCTCTCTTTTGCAGAAAAATACTCACAAAACCATCCATAGCCCATTTTTCCTCTTTCATCTTGCTCACAGAAGTATGAGATGGTGCTTTAATAAGATATATATGGAGCATCAATCGAGCTTCCTGACTTTTATACACCCCTGTAAAATATAAAATATAGGTGCTTTTTGTTAGTTAAGGTGGCAGATAATTGCAATTTTTTAAAATAGTCTAAGACTCCTTAAAGAGGGCAAAACTGGAACTGGTCAGAAAATTTTTTCAACAAAATTTTGTTTCGGAGTAATATGCTGTTTTGTTGAACCTGAAATGTTTGGCAGAGAAGTACCAGTTTCACAAAACTTTTGCAAAAAGTTTTTTGTGTCCAAGGAAGGGTGAAACTCCATAGCTATGTGGTTAGTGTACCAGCCTGGGATGTAGGAGACTCCCCTGCTCTGCCTGATTTGAGGGAATCTAGAATGAAAAAAACATGCTCTGAATCAGCCAGAGCAGGCCCTTTAACATGGGTTGTCTCCTACATCGCAGGTTACAGAATCACAGAGACACATCCACACATCTGTTTCCACAAATTCTATGTTAAAGGTTTTGTTTTTGTTCCAAAATGAAACAAAAACTAATTTTGAAACCTCGACAGTTGCTGTGAAATGGAACTGTTGTTCTTTGGTCAGCTCTACAAAACAGCGACTTCATCTAATGGAAAGACTTGGGTATGATCTGTTTTACATTGGAGGCAGAATTGATCATTTTCATACCTGTAGAAGAAATGTTCAGAACCCTGATTATATTTTATGCATAGTAAAGAGCTTGGATGAAAATAAAATCTAACAATATACTCACTGGTCCAATCTACCTTTACAAACCTGACAATGAAGCACAGACACCACAGAAATAGTGTGCAAAACATGATTATGTACATTGACTACTGGTGTCAAACTAAATATTTGGCTGATAATGTTCCCATTTGTCATTCTGCATGTGACTTTTTCGTTATCCTTCATAACCTATGTTAAATAAGTAGCTATTCAAGGATGTCTGAAAAATACCAGCAACATTAAGACTACTATACCTTATACACTAATACAGCCTGATTTTCAGAGGTGCTGAGCACCCACAACTCCAACTGAAGCCAATAGGAGATGTTGGTGCTCAGCACCTCTGAAAATTAGACCCATATATGGCTCTTGCTTTGAATTCTTCTGCTTTCTTTAGAAAATAGAAAATTCAAAGGAGAAATTTCCCCAAGATATTCAAAATCCTGAGGACACAATAGGCATACACTTTACATCTTATATCAGGTTACAGTAGTGATATAATATGCATTCAAACCACCTATATTAATGACGTTCAGACACTGATTGTTACAAATCTATTTTCAATGTTCTAAAAAGGAGGAAATAAGTGTTAGGTATGGAAAACAAAGCAAAACATTGACAAGGTAGTCAGTGAACAGAAGCCATATTTAAATTATTGTTCAGAAGTTTAACTCTAAGTAACCTGATCACTGTAGGACTCATGCTCCTCTTTCCCCTGCACTGTGATGCAAAGGTGCATCAAACATGTGTAAACGGGCTAAGTAGTATGTATGGAAAGAAGGGACACCTACACTGGATTTTCTCTCCAACACAAGCTCCTCTGAGTTAACAATGTATATTTGGGCCTCTCCTGGAGTTTCGTAAGCACAGCAAAGGAGCACCCACTCTAGACAGTATGTTCCCTGAGAAAACTTGAGCATTTTAAAAATGAAAACACAAAGGAAAATCATACTGCTCAAAGCAAAGTTCACTTCTGCTCCATGGCTTCTATGTATCACCCCATTCTTGAGCCAGTAGTGTTGCCAGTATCAGATGTGTGTGTCCAGCTGTAAGTCATGTAGAGCAACAGAAGCTCCATTTGGATGTCTCAAGATATGCAGGGTTGGCAATAAGATCTCCTGTGGACTTTGGAACTTGTGTGCTTAGCAGGCCACATACTCTGTTGATACTAATCTCCCCGTCTTTTTCAGTGTTGGAATCCTTAATTTCCTTCTTTAAATTCTTAGCTGTGGACCACATTGTGGCTTGGCATATGCAACTGTGTGGCTTTATTCCCTTGTGCTGGCTACCCAGACTGCAGGCAGGAACGTAAGGAGGAGAGCAACCTCTGTGAAGCTACTATATTCCCTCTGCTGCTCAAGTGGGTACAATATGTGTGTGTATGTGTGTGTGTATGTGTGTGTGGCACTGGGTTAGTGGGGAAGGGGCTGGCTCTCTAGGGAGAACTACTGGGATTTTCAGATGATTAAACTGAGTAGGGAGGTGTCTGCTGTATTTTCTGAGAAGGGCGCCTGATGCTCCATTGTATGTGTTGGGAAGGAGATGGGAAGTATGATGGGCTAGGGCTACTGGTGCTGTGTGGAGTGAGGAGAAGGCTAGAGTGCCAGAGGAGAAAAGGATGGGAAACATGAAGGTGCCACGTGGGCTGCATGGGGAGTTCTGTGGTGCATGGTAAGAGGGAGGAGGGAGGTGGCTATCCCTGAGCGGTATAGGGTTTGGGGTGCTACTGAGACTGCAAGGGGTGAGAGTAGGATGTTAAGAAAGAGGAGCACCTGGGCTCCATGCTGGGCCTACAGGACCTCCCTGCACACACACATACACACACCCTGTGTCAGAGACTTCTGCCTCCCTTTCAATTGTTAGCACAAAAATGTGCCTGATGGGGTGTTTAACTGCAATGACATTCCCAAAAGCAGCCAGCTGCCACTATATGTGTGAGGAAAGGTAGGAGAGAAAACATCTGCCTGGAGAAGGAGGGTGAGAGGTGCAGAGATGACAGGCCTGTATGATTGGCACCCTTAGAGAGAGACAGACCACAAAGGCTCTGCTAAGGACAGCCCAGATGTGCATGGCAATCCCAAACCCACTAGGAGAAACAGAGAGGTTTAAGGTGCACTATGCGTGTAATATATGCACATATGTTCAAACTGGCAAAGTATTAAATAAAGTTTACTGGAAGTTGATAGAGAGTTTCAGATCACATTCAGAGGGTTACTGCTAATTAATTTTCACTGGGTCAGCATTTCACTTTGATAATTAACACAAAATATTATCAGCATAGAATTATAATTAATATGAAGGTAGCACAAGCTCAAATGTTGCCAGATCTCTCCTCTCACTGCCAAATAATGACTGCAATCAGGAATATATTAAAAGCTGAAATTAAACTGACAGATTTGAACAGTATGAATAAATTATCTTCCCTAATAAATTCCTTGGACTATTTTTCTGGAAAACTCTAATTAGGTGTAGGGAGCACATACAGGCTCCACCAAGGAATGGGAAAATGTATGGGGAGGTGGTGGAAAATGCTCCATAGAGACAGCCACTGCTGTTCTCTGCTAATTTACACTGGTAGATTGACAGGCACTCCTTGCTCAAAGGCTGATGAGCTCCATTGGCATCTGGCAACTGATTCCCTGAGGGACAAGACAGTGCTTGAAATGGGCCAGTATAATAATTAATTCAATTGTGGCAATTTTACCCAGCTGAACCTGCTCCTTAGGTTCTTCTCTAACTCCTTAGATAGTATCTAGGGTAGCCCCAGCAGAGAGGTAGTGAGATGCTTCAGCTCTGGGAGGGGAAAATGTGTACTAACATCATGTGGTGTGGAGGGACAATGGACAGAGAGAAATGGAGATCTGGGAAAATAAAGAAAGTTATGG